AAACTATTTTATCAGTTGTTGAAAGGTTTTGAGTTGGATACTCGATTTTTTTTCCGTAACATAAGCGCTAATCCCTTGGAGGAACAAGGAAAAACAAAAGGAATATAAAATAGTTGAAATGTAATTTGTTGTAATATTAACAAACAAAACAATCCTAACTTTTTTGTTGTCAAATAAGAAATAGAATAGGGGCAAAATGAAGTAGTCCCACATGAGCAAATTAAAGCCATATATTTCTCATTGATTGTGATGCAATATGATCCACCATTTTCATTTCTGAAACTAAACGCTCCTTCTGAAATAATTCACTTTAAACGAAGCTTCCCAAAGTGAAAGAACAAAATGGGGTTGGGGGTAGGGGTCCAGTCGAGCAGTGGTGGAGCCAGAATTTTTCAAAATGAGTTTAATTTATAAAGAAGTAGGCATATGAAGAAGTTGAAAAGGGTTAAACATCTACTATATAACACCTCAAAAACTGAATGAATGAATCCCTCGATCCTACCTGACTCCACTCGCCGTCGAGTGCATTTATTACTATTATTGACATAAACAAAATGATTTTTTTTAAAAAAAATAAATGGATGAGGGGCTGGCATATTATTATTATCTGAACAGTCTCAAGGCACTCAATTTCCGTGACAAAATTTAAAGACTGTTTTGAACATTCACAATCATAATTTGATGCTCTCTATATACATTTGTTCTCTACATATACACATGCATTTATTATTGTACTTTGAAACTTATCTTTATCTACTTCTTTATACAATCTATAGTTTTTTATATTTACATCCATACCTTTTCAGATCAATATAAGTCATCTCGTCTAAAAATCTAAATGGTTAAAATATATACTCTAGGTATATGGCTCGCTCTTAAAGACATTTTGTATGCCTTCATATATTCGATGAGAGAAACTCGAATTTTTAACATTCATCCACAAATGTGATCCCGATTTTATAGTTCATACACTAGTTTTAGTGTGAACTTATGAGTCAAATTAAAGAACATATTTATAAAAAATGATATGATAGTCATTATCTAAAAGTTAATTAACTCGTGAGTACTATTTTCGACTTTTTTTCTAGTCATTTTTGTTTTAATATTGTATTGTAAATTGTCTTAATTTAAGGAAATTTTTGCAATAGTATGAAATGGAAAATGTACTTCTATAATATGAAAGATATAATTAAACGTGCAACATTTTTATATAATAACAAGCCTGCGCTATGGAATAATTAACTTGAATTGACAATTGGACATGTTAATCATTATTGCGTGTTACGTACGTTAGTGCTACACTTTAACATAAATTAATTAGTGCTTACCTCGGATAATCAAAGTTATTATTACATGTTACACTAGTAAAATAAAAATAAAAATAGTAACACTATAACTAATCATATGTATATTAATAATTTTAACCTTATACATCTGGAATTTACTTTACAACCAAAATTTTAATATTTATTGAAATTGATATAACTTCTCATATATATATATATACATCTTATTGTTTTTCGGAACGGGTTGTCAGTGTCAGAAGTAGAGTAGAAGGTATGGATTCGATAGAATTCCTTAACTCTGATCTAAATTTTGTATTTATTTTTAATTATTAAGTTACAATCTAGTCGAGAGTCTTTTGAAACCAGTCTTTCTATCTTCACGAGATAATGATAAGATCTACATACATTTTATCCTTCCAGACCCCACTTTTGTGAGATTTCATTAGGTATGTTGTTGTTGTTATTAATTTAGAATCTAATAACTGAAATGAATAAAACTCAGTTCAAAATTTCAAATCATGCATCCGCCTCTAATCAGTACTATAAAATGTTGCTACACAATATTTCATGCATTGACTATTATAAGGAACTATTGTACCAATATAAAAGTATAGATTCCAAGAAGTTTTTTTTTGTAGGACTTTTCATGGTTTATTAAATGAAAGAATTTCATTTCAACTATGAATAGTAGTCATGCACAGTAAATACATAATAATTGAGACATAGATAATTATTGAAAATAGTATGGGTGACAAAAAACTGTAAAATCTACTTACTGCTATTGGGCTTGGACCTACCATGGGACAAATCAAGCATTTATATCTCAGAACTTGCTGCATTACATTAACTATGAAAAAAGTGCATTTACTCCTTTGAACTAAAAAAAAGATACTAAAAAATAAAATAAAATAAAATAAAATAAAAATTGGTCCTACTATGTATTAAAATTGACGTACTTTTTGGTTGAATAAAAGAAAATATACAGCGAAAAAAGTATCGAACGAGTCGAATCACCAGAGGTTCTCAACCTAACAAGCAACATTTTCATTAATTGCCATGAGTAGGCAGGCGCAGAATTTTCACCAATACAAAATAAATATTCAACTATATATAATACATATGTGTGATTTTTCGATTAATGAAATTTGAATGAACCTCTTCCATTCTTTGTCATAAACTAAAGAAGAAAAGAAGGAATATGGAAACAACTTAGTATTTAAGTAGAGAAAAATAGTGAACTCGTCGATCTATCAAATTAAATGTTCATGTTATTTGTCATGTTTATCTTTTGCACAACTCTTAAAATATATTGACTAAAAGAGAATAATCTAATTACATTACCCTTATTCTCTATTTTCAATTTATTATTACTCTGTATGTTTTCACTCTAAATTATAATTATAAAAAATCCAAAAACAACTCTAATTTATTTCATGGCCCAACACAACGACTCCAATTTTCAAATATTATTTTCACTTTAAAAATAAAAATTACTTTTTCTATATTCAAAATGAAACATAGTCAAACGCCTACTTTAATTAGAGATTCCCTCCGATCTCCATTAAAAATCTAGATAGTGGAATTTGCTAAGGGAGTTTACACCTAAATAGCAGCCAGAGATGACAATAATAGTAAATTGAAAGATTAATAAATACTGGTCCTGATTAAGACTGAGCATTCTGAAATTTTAATTATCATTATTATTTTTTCAAAAAGGGTGAAGAATATTTTTGTCTATTTGTCTTTCATAATTTATATTTTTCATCAGTAACACATGTATGGTACAACAATGCTGCCATGATTGTCGATAATTATGCACCTTCTTAAATTTTTTAACTGTCCATCATTTGTTATTTTATATATTAAGAGCTTCAGGTACCCCAAATTTAATTTAAATTAAAAGGGAACCTAATTATTTCTTTTAAAACAGCATACTAATAAGTAAAATTGTAGTATTATGTTAAGATTCATTACACTTCTAAGTACATATAATATAATTTAAACATCTTGTTTACAAAATGTATCTACATGTTATATAGATGTTGTGTGTTTTACACTAAATATACATATATTATACATACTTATACACTATATATATATACAATCAGAGTATATAATAATATATATTTTGATCATATTATTAAAGTAGATGATCGATCGATATATTTATGTAAGTTTCCCTAATTAATGTGATTACTCTTTTGCAAGACTGATTATGTGAAAATTGGCTAAATTGTCAGCCCCCTTTCTTTTTGTTGAGAGAACTTATTCCACAACAAACCCAAGGACCACAATGGAGTGATAATTGATAAGCACTCGTTCATTTTTAATCAGATGTTTTATATTTGAGTCTCTTTAGATACGGAGTCGCATTTGTTAGGGAGTGCTTTATCCTACAACGTGGGACTTCACGATGCAAATTTAGATTTAGTTGAAATTCAATGTGAGTACTGAACACCGGAGTGGAAACCAAAAAAAATATTCCACAAACCCAAAAGGGATAAAAGTTGATAAAACTTTACAAATACAGTATTTCTGAAATTCTGGCAGTGCCTGAACTGAGACAAATTGTAGTATATTCTTTGCCCATGAAAGTGCTTTTTTTTTTCTTCTTTTTATTCAAAAGTCCCATTCTATATAGTACCAAATTAAACAAACAATTATTAAACAAGAAAAGAAGAAAAAATGGTACAATTTTAGTTATATGTATGTGTTTATATATATATTTTTCAAGATTATTAAAGTTGAAGAGTTTTATGCCCATTGCATTGCCAAATAAAACTAGTCCCATACTGATAAGGATAAAAGTGAAACAGGCTACTCTTACACTTCTTTAATAAGCATAGCACCAAATCCCATAGAGTCCAACGACAAACAGTCAAACAAGGACTCATCACATGTGCTCCACAAAAAAGTATATGGCAGGAGGTTATTTTGGTCTTTTCCATTTCATAAGATTTAAATTTTTTAATTTATCGAGACATGACTTTAGATAGGAGGTTATAAATATCATGAATTAAGATATAAAGTTAGTAGGGAGTAGAATGAACGTTGTCTCGCTTACTCTTTTATACTAATAATCATAGTATCTGCAGTATTGTATTTCGATCATCACATTTTTTGGTGTAATTATTATTTCTTTACTCAAAATGATTTGTCATATTTTCTTTAAAATTTTATCATTATTTCTTTTTTTGATCTACGGTGATATCTTTTTTTTTTATTAAGGATGTTATCGAAAACATCTCTACATTTTAAAGCAGGATTAAAATTTGAATAAACTCTGTCATTTAAACCTCAACTATTTCTAAAATTTGCATGCACTATATCCTTCGAACCTCACCTATAGAAATACACTAGGTATATATGATCATGTATTAGAATTTGTTATAGCAATTAAAGTGGTGTATTTTTCAAGTTACTAACCCCTCTTTTAATGTGAGTTGTGCTCAAGAGGATACCTTGTCAAATTGAAAAAGAAGAAAAAAAATATTCTACATAAAAAGTATTGGATACTATTATAAGTAATGTGAATCCTTTTGAAGAAAACATGATTTCACCTAAAATAGACCAATATCACACTAATAAGAGTATTTTTGTGTTATCATGGCCCAACACATCTTAGGTGATTGATTTATTAGTGTAAAGATTTGATTGTACTGTATATATATTATGTATAGAAATAGCAACAAATTATAAAAGGCACATGAAATATTACTGAACTGTATAGTTTAGACTTTCATAAAGAAGCCATAAAAGTATATACATAATGCAAAAGTGCACATAACAACAAATAAAATTAAACAACTCAAAATTTCTCTCTTGGGTTTTCACCTTCCACCACTTGCGCATTTTTTTATTTTATTTAATTTCTAAAAACTTTTTTTAAACTCTAAAAACAAATACAAGCCCTCAAAGGCTAAACAAACTTTTATCTATGATAAACTCAAAAGCAAGATAAGATTATAGAGTTGCTCTTTTTCTTTTTTTTTGGTTTTATTTTGCATTCTCATTTTCTAATTACTTGCCTAATTAATCTTGGCTTCTTTAGCTGTCAAGAAGTCTAATATTTAACAGCTCCAACATTTTTTTTTATATGTTAATGGAATGAAACCTTTTGTCTATATATCTTTTCTTCAATCTCCAACCACCAAAATGATCCAACTACTCATAATCTCTCTTTTCCCCCACCACCATTATATGTATTCATTTTCTTCATAATATTTCCTAACTTTCTTTATTGTGAAGTATGTGTTGTGGGGTGCATTGTAATTCTTAAAAGATCACACCAAAACTCTCATTCAACTATATCATAATAACTTGACAAAAGGCCTTCTTTCCACTTAATATTCACCCATCCATCTCTAAGTATCCACTTCATAAGGTGTATTTAGCTTTCTCCTCTTCACTGGACTATTATGAGATGAATTAGACCGCGACTCAACTCCTGAGCCATCAGTTCTGTAACTTAAACATGCTGCATCCAACACACCAATTGGACTCTGAGGAACAGATGGGATTGAAGAAGCAATTGGAACTTTAACAAAGTCACTTGCTAAAGACAATTCTTGAATCAATTCAATGCACTTCATAACTTTATCCTGCAAAGTTAAGAGTAAAGATGAAAACTTTAGTATGGTTGTAAGTTAATCAACATGGAAATGATCAAATTTTGTACTAACGAGTTTTTAGGACCACTATATTTACCTTTTGTACATGCTGAACTAGAGCAGATAGTGCTTTGTCACTGTCTACTGTCTCAGTTTTTACTGCAAATGAGATTGCTACTGCTGCTGCAATTACAGAAGGCTTGAATTCCAAGAAGTGAATTCCTGCATTGAATTTTATCACCCACCCAAAAGTTAGTCCATCAAACAAGCACAAATCAAGATTATAATTGTCTCAAGATTAAATGGTATTTCACCTTTTAGTGTGCTTAGTATGAGTTCAACTGATTTATTGATCGAAGATATTTGATCGTTATTTATCTTCTTGATGAAATAATCTATGTAAGAGAATGGGGTGATAGCCTGCATTCTCCATTTCAATGTGGTCAGCACAAGTAGCTCCATTCTTTGTATTGTTTTAGCTTCAAATACAAACTTTGCATCCCCTCCCTGTCGATCAATTCATCATCGCAAATTCACAATTAGAAACAACATAACCAATGTAATCCCACGACTAATCCCACGAATGTACTTATGAAAAATTCACCTGTAAATCTAGAGACAGAGGAACATCAGTCTCCTCCATTTTGGCAGCAATCGACAGACAAGCTACGCCAAGTAACTGCATCATCCAAGCCTTTTCCTTCTGTGGAAACAACAATAGATGTTATAACTTATAAGCAATGTGATTGAATGGAAATAAACACAAAGCAATACTACCAAATTCAGTAATCAAAGAACTTACAGGCAAGTCATAAGCAGAAAGGAATCTATCAAGATAGTTGACAGCCAAATATGCACACATTGGACCAAAATTGAACTGTGAATGAACCTGCAAGAACCGATCCACCGTTAGATTTACTCCATATCCAACTCGAACAATAATAAATACAATTAGTAACTGATAATCAATCACATATCTACAGTGTGAAACACAAGAAGCAGAACAAACAAGTAAAGAGGTAAAAAAAATCATGTACTAGACAGCTAAGAGTTGGTGAAACAGTAAAAAAAGATCCAAAACATAAAAAGTGAAATCCTACACAAACTCATTTAACATATCAGTATTAGCTGACAATAAACAAAACACCAAAAGGATTCCCCACAAACCCCATTCATATTTTGTGTGAATGTATTGCAAAAAGTTTAACCATGATAAAGTAAAAAACCAAGAATCATTCACCCCATCCCCCCACTCCACACACACATCCCAAACTAAAACCTCCTAAAGATAATTATGACATATAATCAACCTCCCCTTTTGAACCAAGAAAATTTTACATCACTGAAACTCCCTTATTAAATACTCCAGTTCATTACCAGTCACTGTTTAGGAATCTAATAACTTGAAATCTAATTAATCTAAGTTATTAAGAACCATTAGTCAACAATTTCCATTATTAAATCATTAGATTGCTCGGATTCTCCAAAATTGTTGCCACACTCGTATCGGATCCTCCAAAAATGCATTACTTTTGAAGGATCTAACACGCACCCGGCGACATTTTTCGAAGAATCCGATCATCTGAAATTAAGACCATCTATAAGATTCATGAACCAAACCTTAGCAATCCAATCAAGAATCTCATCTCTAGCCCCAATATCCAAATCCCCATTTCTCAATCTTTCAAGATAATCAACAGCAGGCATATGCTCACATTCTTTTTCAATCATCAAAACTAAACACTCATCACTCTGCAATGGAACACCAGTATAAAACTCCTCCCCATTAAACAACTTCCTGTTTTCTTGACCATTTCGATGAATCCTAGGATACCATATATCTTCCACCACAACTTCCTCCACAAACCCAAATCCGACATCATCGTCCTCATTGCAAAAAATGCTACTGTTGTCTTCAGCACACAAAAGGCTAGAAACTGCACAATCCATACTGGGTGCCATTGAAATACCTCAAAAAACTCTTTTATCTTTCAATCAACAAAAAAAGATTCGTTCTTTAACAATATCAACAACCAAAAAAATCAAAATCTGTAGTTTTTAACAAAACATTTTCAAATCTGAACCGATTTTCTTGAAAAAGAATGGATTTTGAAGAGGATAACAAGAAAAAGATGATCTGTGAAGTTGTCGTTTGATTCCTCTGTGTTTTGAGTGACTGATTGTTGACTAGATGTGGATGAAGAAGAGTGATAAGGGTGAGATGAGATGAGATATAGCGGCTATGGAGAAGAAAAGGGTGTCTTTTATATTGGATTTTTAGGGCATTTAGAGAGAGAAAGAGAAGGGGAAGGGGGCAACAATGGAAGAAAATGAGAAATGGGGGTGGCGAAAATATAGACAGGAACAAGTGGGGAAAAAAATGTAAAGAGAAATGTATACACATTTATGCCATAAGCATATTTGGAAGACAATATACGCTCTGTATATTGTGTATATACACGTATATACAACTTTACTTTCTCTTTTATTGTATATATTTTTTTTTGGTGGTCATCTACTACGCCCATCTATATTGTAGTTAAAATAATTAATATTTATATCACGCCGGATCCACAAAACGAAGATCTTTGATTAAAATGAAATTTCATTTGTTACACCATATTCTTTGATAGTAATTGTTTTACTCTTGAAGTGAGATTAATATATATATATAAATCTTGCTTGACTAAAAGTTAATTAATACTACTAATAAAAGGATTACATCATTTGATGAGATTAATTTAAGAAAGAATTCAAGTACAATACACATTGTCAAAGGTAAATAATCTTTGTAACATTGCGTCATTTTTATTTAGTTTGTAATATTTGGATATTATAAAGTGAAATATACGTTTAGTCATCGCTCGAGTTTTATAAAATATAATATAAAAACTTTTCTTTAATAGAAAAAATGTATGTTAAATACTAGGGCTTTATTGAATCCCGAGGATTTGCTCGTAACCCCTAGAAAAATATACCGGCAATGTATTTTTAAGGACAGTGGTATTACTTCAAATTCTTTTTTCTCCAATTCAACTTTTTAATTTTTCTTTTAAATAAATTTCACCTATTTTAGCATATAATATATTTATTTTTTAAGCTCTTAAAGAATCTTACATGTAAATATCATTTGATAATATGTTAGTATAAAATATTTTTCACATTAGTGGTATATAACACTTAGATTTTAAGAGAAAATGTATTTATGTATAGAACCATTAAAAATAGTTATTTATTTTACACGGCTTATTATTTTGCAACTTCGTATTGTAATTTTTTTTTATTTTTTTTAAACATCAATATTTATATATATCAAATAAATTTCATGTGGAAACTAGATGTACATAATTTGACTTTTACCTTTTATATTAACTTGATTTTTTTTTTAGAATTTAATACTTTCACAATATGAATTTACAATACAATTAAAAGTTTATTAATAAATCAATTATTTAATGTTGAAAAATAGCAAAGATACAGTTATCCTTCTTATTTTGGTAAGGATATTATTGTATCAATGTTTGAATTTTATAATTAAGTAGAAAATGTAATGATTGCATTTGAGGAAATATATTTGATAGCACTAATATAAGAGCAAATATTTGGTTCTAAATAGAATTTGCTTGTCTCCTCCTTTTCTACAATCAAATAAATCAATGTCTTTAATTTTACTAAACCTTTTTATGTTTTCTTCATTAATAAAACATAATGAGAGAATAACTATATAAGTTTTTTTTCCTTTTTTCATGCCAGAAAAATAAAAAAAAATGTCATATAATTAGCAGTCATAACAATTCAGGATTCATATTAGCAGAGATATAAGAATGTTTGATAATTTCGTATATTTATTTAGGTTTTAATTATCATAATCAAAATTAACGGTTATATGATAACTAAAGGTGGTAAATATTCGATAAAATGAGACAGAAAAAAATGCCTGAAATTCTAATATCAATCGTGTGATGCACACGATAAAGTTTTTCTTTAAAGTGCATTTGAATTAACTTAAATATTATATTATTTACGAGTTCAGGTTGTATTTCCTTCAATTCATTTTACTTGTCATGATTTCATTTTGTCTTTTAAAAGACATCAACTAAAAAGGTACTCCCTTTTCAAATTAATTAAATTGTTGAGACAATTTTCATTTTTCAAATTAACTTAATTATTCAATCTTCAAGGCTACTTTTAGAGTATTCTTCCAATTTTACCCTTCATTAGTTAGTATTGAAATTAATTATTGTAATTAATATTTAGTTATCTAATCATAAATTAGATAATAATTAAAAAGGGTAAAAATGAAAAGCTATGTTTAGTGCATTGTGAAAAACTTTAACAATTCAATTAATTTAAAATGGAGGATATCCTAAGCAATCTTTTTTTTACTGAGTAAGATTATTTAATTATATCTTGATTTACTAAAATGCTAATTATTTATATACACATGACAACTTAAATGGATCGGAGTGAGTATACATTATCAATATAAAAAATGAAATACTCCATTTAGTAATCATTCTCTGTTATAACTAATAATTTATCTCATATTCAGAATCAAAAATCTTATATTTATATAGAATCATTTATAGCATATCCATATTTATTTTATATTCATAATTATAAATTCTATATTTTAAATAGACTAATATGTAACATCCTATATATCTATCTTATTTTCGTAATTACAATATTTTTAACATGTAAAATGGCATAATTTAAGAAGGAGTTGGTAAATTTGTAACAAGTAAAGGGTAATTTAGTAAATGGAAAATGTAGAAAAGGACGGATTGGCTGTAAAATTTGTCTTGTTGCTGGGGGTATTGCCACGTGGAATTAAAAGTGTAATGGGCTGGCAAATGGTTATGTACAGTTTCAGTAGAAAACTGCAATTATGATATGTGGCAGAACTAATTTTCACACCTTTTTTTTTTGGATTTTATATCTATTTTTTACTTTAAAAACAAATTTATTTCCCCTAATATACGCTCTATTTTATTTTATTTTATTTTATGAATAGAGGTCTATTTTAATTGACAGAAATATCAATTTCCTCCCTAAGTTCTCATTCAACAAACGAAAATAGTCCACCATTGCATGCTACTTTCTCCATTTTAATTTGTCTGTCTTATTTTTAAAAAAAAATCTCTTTTTATTTTTCGATAACTATAATTTTTAATTTTTTATGTAATATGTTTAAAATTAAAGATTTTTTTAAAATGATGATGCATTGACATATTTTTTAATTAATTTATGATATTAAAAAAAAATTATAACAAATTAAAATAAAACAAATAAATTAAAACAGACACAATATAACTTATCCACTCTATTAATGAAATGAGCTATGCCATTTTTTTTTGGGTGGTGGGTGGGTGGGTAGGAGGGGTGGTCAGAAATATCCTTTTTCTTCTCCTAAATTTTCAATCAACAAACAAATAAATCCATTCAAATTATTATTATTATTATTAGTACATGGTATAAGACTTCTTTTTAGTATTTGATGCTATATGAAAATAAAATTAGCATATGCGCGTGCATTATCCTATTTTTTTAAAAAAGTTTCTCACTTGATGTATAGTAATTTTGTTGGGATTTGACTAAATTTAAATTCATGTATGACAATTGAAGTTGTTGGTCGGAGAGATCAGACAAATGATTATGCTTAATGATTTAACTTACTAGATATCGACTTTTAAATATATTAACCGCTAGCCAACTAACAATATATCGAGTAATTTGGTATTGAATTACTAGTAATTATTAAATGGTGTATTAGTTCAATAATTTCATACTCCCTTGACCCTTTTCTCACTTTCACTCACTAATAAATTAATTTTTCATCAAACAAAATAATTTTTGTAGCTCTACTTAAATGGTGATTCCGTAATTATAAATCACATTGAAAAATAGATGAGAGCCACATTTTTTAGGGTGCAAGCATTTATGTAACAAATATTCACATGTACAACAATTTATTATTTCAACACCAATAAGGCTTTAGGGTTAATAATATGTTTTTTATATATTTATCGGGTTAACGATTTACGCAATAAAAAAATTGAGTATCTCGCTCCTATATCGATAAATCATTAATTGTAAAATTTTAATATGTGCATTAATCGTTAATTCGATAACCTAATATACATAAGTCAATTTTGCTTGTGACTTATCAGTTATGTTTCAATTTTGAATTACCATAATAACATTATTAATTAATGGGACGACACTCGCAACAAAGAAAATTCTATTTTCAAAATTGGAACCCAAAATCTCTAATTAAGAATAATAAAAAATTCAATCATCTCATCATAACCCATATTGATTATTAGACAAATATAATTTCAGTTGACAAAATAATTATGTCTGTCAGAATTAGATTACATAGTCTCACACTAATTGTAGTGACATTTCCATGAGTTAATTCTCATGTCTCAACCACTAAGTCATTCATTAAGATACATGACATAAATTTTGGGAGCAAGACCTATTGGTTTTTGTAGTGTTAAAATTTTTAAGTCTAATTTTAGCAAGTGATTATTGATTCCTATAAATTAATGTTATGGTATTTTACTTGATGAAATATACATAATAAAATTATAATGACAAAATAAATGAAAGTAAATAATAAATTTGTTATGTTTATTATGATTTGTTGTACATATAGCATCATTGTACCGTACATAACCGAAAAACAAAAACCATACAGCGCATAATGAAGAATATCAGGAAGAAAACAATTAAACCGTCAAAGCTCTTTATAAATAGTTTTTGACTATTATATTGATTGACTGTTATACACCTATAACAACATTTGACTGTCTTCGAAGTAAAAATTATCATTTTTTTGTTCTATTTAATATTGTTAAAAGATAAAAATATAGTTTTGTGCAAGAAAATAGACTTGGGCAATTTTTATTTATTTATGTAGGTGTTTCATCATTATTTGGTCCATCTAATTATATTAGTAAAAGTCTTAATTTGTTCCTCTAATAAAGTTTTTTGCACAAAGTGTCTGACAATTCTAATGAATTTGATGTGGTCCAACTACCTCACTCACAAATCACAATATTTATTGGCTCACAATGTGTGAAAATGCCTTTGTACTATATATGTAAATAAAAAAGTAACAAGAAAAAGATATATTGTATCTCTAAATTATCTTTTTTCTCTATTTGTTAATTTTTCTTTTGAGAAATAAATAGTCAAGATTGTCCTACACTTATTTTTGTTTGGTAGGATAAGCTTCAACTTCTTTCTACAATTAGTATAATATTTTTCTTCTTTATTTTCTATTCACAAAGTACATGTCTTTAAAATATAAAAAATAAAAATAGTTTTCCTTATGTTCTCCAATTCTATTTTGTTTGATCAT